CTTTCATCTCTTATTCATCCTCTATTTTGTTAATCTCCGCTCGATTCATGCTGGAATAGGGGATGAAGAAATATTTCGCAAAGTCGCGAGATTGAAAGATAAAAAGCTGCAGCGAGATCGAGGATAGCGGATCCTCTATAGATCGGTTTATTATGTACTATGAGACTTGAGTTTTCTGGATTTATATCTTCCACGCCTATTAGGCAGACGATTGTGGAAATTACACTTTTATGCAGTGATTGCTTATTCACAGCGAGAAGTTTTCGCGATGGAACAACGATCGTCTATAGACGTTCTTATGTCTGAATGAAACGCACACATTAAGTGATTAAATAAAAAACTCTACTCCGATTAGGAAATTTAAATATCATGTAACATAATATCTCTGTTAAAAACAATAAAATAGCATTAATTTAAATATTTTAAAAATGTGTTAAAATATATCTTTTTGTTAACGGCGTTCTTTGAATTCACAATACCTAAATGTAACAGCTGTTACATAAATAATCGTTTACATATACAAGCGAATATCGTATAAATACTTCACATTCAATTTCATCACGATTATTATGCTAGCCCACGCGTACAAATTCTGCACAGAAGTGCAGATTTCATGGGCCGATGCTTCGATTCAATCGATAGGAACTGTACAATGTGTCGTATGTCCCATTTGTACAAAACAACGCATCTCCAATTCCACACGACGGAATCCATTCACTTCATTTCAATTAATAAAAGCGGAGATGTACATTTTCCCATTATACTTGCATATTGTACATTTTTGAACATGCAATTCGTGGGTGCTGAAAGATGTTGCAAATATCGTTTGTGCATTTACATAAAATGTACATATCTCGGAACGTAGAGCTATTCATATAGACTCTCTCGCGAATTCAAAGTTCATCAAATATTCCTCGGCCTCCGCACGTTTTCATGGTGATCAAATAAACTAGTCTATCTTGTTGTAATGTGTGACGGTTCCAATCCCTTGCGCATTTTCACTCAGCGAAAGAATACTCAAGAATAGGAAAGAGAAGGTATATTCGAGAGAAAATTTCTCTTGAATGATGGCACTTAACGATTCGCCTTTGCAACTTGCTCTTTGTTCGTAAGACTGATCGGCAAAGCGCTGATGGAAGTGCGATTTCCGATAATAGCATTGTAAACGCTTCATCGCGCTGTACGCAAAGCCAGAATATAGCCAAGTTGAACGAGTAAAGTGACCTTTTCAATAGGTTTCGTCCGTGAAAAAAACACACAACAATGAAAAACGTTATTCCGTTACAGGTAACGGATTAACGAAGATGTTTAGATGTACGGAAAATATAAAAAATTATATAATAACATAGCCTGCGAGAGGAAACTTTGGTACGGTCAATATTTGAGAAGTACAAGGATAATTTCAGAAAGGGTTGAAATAATATTCCTTGCTATTCCTGTATCTGTATCGCAGTTAAAACAAGTAAAAACTCCTGGTAGAAATGTATGCTGTTTTCCTAGATACCTATCCAGTTACTGTCTAATATTACTGCACTTCTCATTACTTGTAACAATACCGCGTAAAAACTGGATAAAAACTTAGAATTTTATTCAATGAATGAAACAATTTTCTTGATAAAAATATGAATTTTCGTAGATAACTACTTAATTATTGTCTAGTATTAATAGATTATTAATTAATATTACGTAGTCTATTTACTGTTCAGGTTCAGTAAATGTGTTCAGATTTTATGCATCTTGTGCGCAGTAACTGCAAGCAAAGTGTTACATCTTGATTGGGCACCTAAGTTTACTTCTCAGTTACTAAACAGAGTTAATATAACTGTCCAGCAATTGCTTAGAAAATGCAATAAAATTTCAAAACCAGGGATATCTAAAATAAATTATCACTGCGCGCAATTTATTCTAAAATGAGAATAAACATAATCTCTCTATATAGCAAGAAACACAAGAAAGAAATGAGTTGGAAAGAGAATATTTAAAGGAGTTGTTCCTTTTTTGTACAAACAGCAAAAAAAATAATTTCAATAATTTTAAATTGAATATTATTGTAAAATAATCTTAAGATATTTCCAAAAAAATTATCTAAAAAAAGAATCTGATTAAAAGAAATATCACAAAAAGAAATTAAGCAAATGTCAAGTTTCAGAAACATTTCGTATATATTCAAAAAGTAATCTCTTTAATTTTGCAAGCAAGGATTTAATATGTATTATTGCAATAGTAGTCCCAAAATAAGAAAACGTTTTCCCAGTGAAAAGAAATCATGTGAAAGGTAGCTATAATTTTGAAGTACTCATAGTATCATATCTCTGTCAGACCGACAAAAAAGTTTGCGAGATAAAGGACGTATGAATAATACAAAGGCAATTTCCGGCAGAGGAGATACACTACGGTATCACGTGCGTGCAAGCGCAAATAACCGCTCAAGGCAGAAATCGAATTTTCTGCGGGAACATGGGACGATTTAGCGGCGTGTGTAATCAAAGGACTGACGACCGAAGCAAATTAACCAGCAATTGTGCAATCCTGTATAAACGTGAACTAAAAGATTTTTAATTTACTAATTTGTTTCGCGCGCACGTAGATCGCGTATGAAACGTGAATAATGTAAAAATATTAACGATTAAGAATATTCCCTCGTAGATATTACTTAGGATAGTATTTATCATAATCTCTCTCTCTCTCTCTCTCTCTCTCTCTCTCTCTCTCTCTCTCTCTCTCTCTAAACCACGTTCCATCTTCCTAAATTAAAATAACTGATATTTCAGTAATTAAATCTCTGTATGAAGATTAAAACTCGTCCTACGTACTTCATGTCAGAGAGATTCAGAGAGCAAAGTAGTTAAATAAATGTAAATATACAGCAAAATAAATCTGTCGTCTAAATAATCATTCTCTGACTTGAAGTTATATGAACTAATGCAAATACTAAAAAATTTTCTTCAAGAGTCGCTACTTCCGCATTTTTAGTTTCGCTCTGATAAATTCCCAAAAATGCACCGTGTTGAAAAGTCTACTCATGTAACAGTACTTCTCTGATTCAGACAAATAAGAATACATCTCACAAGCGAGGTAAAGAGTAGCAGTCACATGCGATGACATGTTCAAAATATTTTGCTCGCAAATTTATCGCGCGTTTTTTTTTTCTTACCCAACATAACGTACGTTTATTTGCCCTTACGCTACCGAGCTTCTTATAAGCATTTTACAAAGAATTTTGCTCTTACGAAATGAGAGATACGCTCGTTACGTGAAGTGCCTCAACTTGTGGCGCACGAGGAAAATGGCGAAGAAGTAATAAGAGATGCATAAAATAGTGATATAAATATATACGAGGAAAATGATGGTAAGATTCATAGAACGCTAGCGTAATGATTTGTTTCCATTGAAGAAAGAAATAATTTATATTATGTTACATACGCGCGAGTGTGAAAGCGAATTTCCAAGGTGCAATGCGCCATGAATTCTCTCTGTGTGAACCATGGAGCATAACAAAGCATGACCTACTTCAAAAGAAATCATTATTTGTCGACTTGCATACTCATTGTCAGACTGTTTCAAGTAACGATAAAATTCTCAAGCTAGAATGTTAGAAAAGAAGTATTGCTTCTACATTAATCTTAGTTTCAATGAATCTTAAATGTGTAAAAATTCTGATGGTGTTTGGTTGTTGACGAATATAAAACGCGATCTTCGAGTAACGTTAAAAATTATATTTGCTCAAAATTTTGAGCGAATATAAAAGAAATGTTTAGAAACCCTTAATCACAATAATATTTGATTATACTATTCTGATGAACGCATTCCTAAATCTCCTGCTGGCAAAGCACTATTGTTATTTAATTACTAAATATGCACCTGCTTCGCAGTCGTTCTAGGAAATGAAATTTCGCAGTAGAGACGAATGATTTTGAATATGAGCAGATACCGAAATAAATAGAGTGCATATTTCACGTTGCGATCAATATCGCACGTTCTTTTAACTTTTTTAAATTGATTTAAATCAATAAAATAAATGCTAAACTATGCACATTAAATATATACGTATATACAAATACATATATATGTGTACACGTATATTTTTCATTAAGCTTTACTTTGTTCCATAAGAAAATACTCTATATGATGGATGTCAGTGCTAATATAAGCCACTTTTATACAAGCTTTTCAGCATCTTCCCCTTGTATCTACGAACGAGGAATTAATTAAAAGTTTCCACCGTAATTTTCAGGAACAGACATGAAGTTAAAGAACCAATTAATTTTTTCTGACAGCGAGTATGCGTAAACGCCCGAAAATTATGGTCAAAATTAGATACAACCTTTGCGGATATTTTCTTTTTAAATATTAAAGCGCTTGTCTAAAATGGACGTATAATACAAGGTGTCCACACTGTCCACGAAAGGCGAAGAGTAAACAGGTTCGAGATAATATATGTAGGCGAAGTTATTCGCTCAAACGTGCTTTCAATTTTGTCTATCTAAAATAGTTTAAGCGAAACGGTTTTATATATACGAAGCTGCAGCGATAAAGCTGACGCATGAAGCATGTCGACCCACGTTTGAAATGATATATACTCAGGATTCGCCGAGGTAGTCTCGTGAAAAATACCACATAAGACGCTTTAATCTCGCGAATAACGATGTAAATGGCGTTGAAAGTGATTTCTTGATGCGAATACGATGGCGACCATCAATCCTGACGGTATATTCACAAGTCTATCTTTAGTAGGTACACATGAACGTGTCTGCACATTTTTTTTTTCTTCAAAAAACTAGGAGCATCAAGTAATTAGTTATAACATTTATATACAATTTTTTAAGTACGTAATCTGCCAAATACTTTCTAAAGATGTTAAAGTATACATAAGAATCACATCATAATTTTTGTGTATTTGTTAAAGTAATAAATATTAATCCGGGACATGAATGATCCATCGTGTGTAGTAAAGGATCGGAAAATCATTGTATACTAAGGATTAATACTATGGAGCTTACCGGCGCCAAAAGCCTGTTGTTCATTTTTGTCGTCAGTTGGGGTGCCCTCTAAACTCGCGGGACCGCTGTCCGCTCCACCGGTCGCACTGCAAAAATATTTTCCCTGTGCATTCCACCGTTTATCTGACAAGATCGAATGGGACGCTGTGCTCGCGAATGGTAATAGGGTTGGATCGTTGCGCGTGAAATATTGGATTCCAAAAGTTTCAGTTTTATGGAACGCTTTTTATAAAATGACCATCCTTCAAGATAATAGTATTATCGCATTAAAGCGACATGTCTCTCTTACAAAAATATTTTTTAGTTTTTTATTTGTCAAGCTATAGCAAATTTTTATAAAAACACAGAAACTGAAGGGATTCGTATTTATAATATAATATTCGTATTTATAATATTTATAACGCAAAATTTAATTTATGTAACATTCAATAGTCAAAAACTAACGACTGATCTTTTAACCTTTTCCATCTTAAAAATATTCTACATTTAATTAGAAAAAAGATTAATTTTTCACACAAAGGCATAAAAGAGAGACATTGATTGAATTTTTTCAATTTTATTTCCTATGTACATTTTATTTCTGCGGAAATTACCTTGTCGCAACATATCGTTGATATAAAAGAGACATTTCATACGCAACGACCTAATAAAACGTAAATAAAATATAAATATATTAATGTCCACCTGCTTGCGTCGTCATCCTTCACTTGCTCGCTAACGGGAGCCTGAATCTCTTCGGGCTGACTCTCTTCTGTTTCGGTTGGCGGTGGGGCCTCACCTTCGGCAGCCCCGGCGCCACGGCTTAACCCAGGTATACCGCCACTCAACCAGCCGGACATTTGATTCTTTACTCCGGCAAACATCTCCAATTTATTGCCTTTCGGACTGCAAGACAAAGGAACATGTATACATGTAACATCTTGAATATGCTCGTTATGGAGAAATGTGAATATAAATGGAAATCCTGAACAAAAAGAATTCTACGACTTCAATAAAATATGGATTCTGTACAATGTATTTAAAAGAGAAATTAAAACTTTAAAGATTGCGCGTATTAGGAATATGACAATGAAATATGAGAGAATCATTTGTATCGATAGCGAATGGGAAAATTAATCAAGCAACGCGCAATGTTAAGCCAACGTGGTTCTTTGCAGCAATAAAAACAATAGAAAATCCTAAGTAAACGCAATTCAATTGCAATGCAATTTTCTGTTTGTATATATTATAGAACACACTCAATAGACACAATGGAAAAAAGATATAAACGTAGCATGATAAACCGCACCGAACAACCGATCGATTAATTAGATTAGTGCAGAGAAATCGGATTACACGAGAAAGCGTGGGCACGGATGGAATTACAAACGCGACCTTTTTAATCACTTCCTCAAATTTGAATGTAAAAGTTCCTTTCGTTTAAAACCTTCTTTACTACCGAAATTTAATGTCTCCCGCTGGAGAGATGTGGAAGCTCGTAATTCATATGTCATGCCACACAGTAGAAAAGCAACTAATTATCAAGTCAAAGGACTTACAGGGACAAAATTCCCATTGGCATTAATCGTGTTCGTGTTATGAATTTTGGCGGAATAGGAAGGTCAACGAGAATTTCGAAATGCGTTAGACACGAGTTTGTAAAGTCATACAACTCAATTTACATATACAATAGGACGATAATATTCCACTCTTCCCTATTATATATTCTTAGAAGACATATGCACTTCTAGAAATTATTTATATAGAGTTAACTGCAATATTTTCTTTACATGTAATTTGATTCCTTTAATAATTCGGTATATAATGACAATAAGATACGATAATAGAAAAATCAGTTATTAACAAAATATTTCGTGCTTTATTTTGATATACAGGGTGTATCTGAAATAACGTACACTATATATACAATGCTATTCCTAATAAAAAACTGAGTCGAAAAGTTAATAGTATTTGAGTAAAAAATTATTGAAAACCAATATTTAACGATTTTTAGTAATTAATATCTTGTTAACTATTGCGAAAATTGCAAAATGATAAGGGACTTTTCGATTCAGTTTTTTATTAAGAATAGTACTGTATGATTAATGTACGTTATTTTAGATACACCCTGTATACTAACATATAATAAAATATGAAATTATTCAGTAAATTATTAATTTTAATTCAATTTTTCACTTATCTTACTATTTGCACAAATTTGTTAAATAAATTAATTCATAAAGTTTAAACAAATGTAATTACATTTTAGAAAAGTACGCAATTTCACATTGTAAACTTTTTCTTAAATGTACCTAATTATACGTTCTCCTTACAGCAATCAACCTATTTCATTATTTTATGTATAAAGAATATTAAAATGAAATAGTCGAAAAATGAAAACACTATTAGATATTTTATATTTTAAGTATATAAACATACTAAAATATATTTCTGTAAATTCTATATAACTACTAATTACTATCATATTATGTAAATGACCAAAGGAATCGAATTGCACAGAGAATATCACATTTTCAGTTAAAAAATATCTCGATAACGTTCGTATCATATAAAATACATGAAAAATAACATAAATCTTTGCAATGAATACATGCGTACATATATAAATATGTTGCAATAAATATTTAATTCCAATCAAATTTGTATTGGAAAGGGATGCGAATTTGTCGTGTGTGAACTGGTGGCGTTATTGCGAATGAAGTGCTCGCGTACTCTATATACGATTTCCATTTCGCGAATTTCGTACGACTGTGCATCCGTCAGGTCGATCGAACATGGAGCATCACGGAGGATTGATTTCGCGCGAGAGTGGACAAGTGCGTTGTGTGCACATTGCGCCACGCATGATTTCACAGGAAATATACAATCGGGGAGCATAGTCCACACGATAATCGTCGCAAAGTCGCGAAAGCGGTTTATTTATAAGAATATTTTATTGAGACATTTTACGAAGACGCATGCGATCTCATATTGCAAGATCCTTGAATTAATTAAAAAGCGTATTCTGGAACAATTCGCAAATGGATGCAAGTGGAGAATTTTTTTTAGAGTTTTATCGAGATTACATTTTCATTTTGTGTGACCAAAATAACGCGTGCGCGCATATGTGTGCGTCGTGCATGTTGAAAGGTAACCAATAAAAGATTAAAATAAATGCAATCAATTTTCTAATAAAAATATATGTGCTTTTTTCTATTTCTATATTATAAATAAAACTCCAGCAAATAAAATGTGGCTTGCGTTAAGGGACGATAGTATAAATGTAAATATATTCTTTAAAACTTTTAGAGTGAAATCTCACTCTTAAAGATTAAAAATTGTGCTTTTTCAAAACTGGCTCAATTTTTATTCTTTATATAGAGATTCCACTTCAAAGAATTTAGAGAGTAAATGTGACATGTATTATAAATCATGCATGAGCGTAAATTTAAGCGTAAAACACTCAGGTGTTTTAGCGTAGATTTAAAATAGAATATTTAAATAATAAATTTAACAATTTAAAAAAATGGAAGAATTGCAAGTAAAAACGTGTACATTAACTTATCACGTTTTGAAATTAAACGTATCCGTAACAACGTATCAATACACGATAACAAATTAAAACTTTTAAATGAGTTTTTGCATAAAGTTGCTTAATAAACTACGCATACATACGCACGTATTAATCGTATAAAATTATATATAGCCCGTCGTCGAACATTTTATCGATGTTACGAATCGCATTATAATTACTGCATACGCAGGTCACAGAGATGTCTGTTGTTGCAACACGTCAGAAGCAGATAATACGTTATTATTATCGGCAACTGCATCATGGTGCAGACCTGTGGACGCAAAATTGCATTTGTCATGATTTTAATTGAATCGATGGATGAACATCTAAACGACCCATCCAACGCGAAATAATTCGTTTGATCATCAAAGTCAAAGATAGGCTCTCTTCACTGTGTTTGTGTTGATATCAATCAATACAAATATCGTTCTGTTTCTGTTACTTATTAAGTATCAAGAAAGATAGAATGATGTTTGTTTCGATTTGTGTCATTGAATGAAAAACATCGCTACAGAGTTTCAAATTTCCTGAAATGTTGATTCTCTATGTTCTATTTGTCAACGGCAATTTTTCAACAACAAAGTATTCGCGATCGATTGCCCGCCGAGAAATCTTTCTGCAATTGTACAGACGCAGACATAGTAATTTATTTATTTTATTTTAGAATGTACTTTAAGAACAAATATCCAAAATAACAAGCGAACGATTAATGTTAAGAGAGCAAATTAAAGGCATACAAAATCGTAACATCGCTTTGAACCAATGAAGAAATACACTGAAAAAATATATAGTCAATTTTAACAAATATTTAGTTCAATACTGCCAATTAAATATTTATTAAATATAAAGATATATATTTATTTGTTACAAGAAACATTAATTTGATTTAACAATTATTCTTTTTACTGAACAAATATTTATTTATTGTAAGTAAATGTTTAGTTGGCAGTATTGAACTAAATATTTATTAAAATTAACTATATTTTTTTTCAGTGTACAATATTTAAGAAAAACACTATAAAAATCACCAGATTGCGCTATAAAATATAATAAAATATACTTATTATTATAATATAGTATAAAATATTCTAGTATAGTACAGTATAAAATATATTAATAAGTATAAAATATGATAAAATATACTTTATATTTTTGTTACCTTAATGAATATTATAAAAGACTAACATAACTTTATAATTATATTGTAATAAAAATATTTTTATAAGATTTAATATTTCTTCATTATTACTTTATATTCGTGATATACGTGATGCTAAGCGATTTCTGCAAATCCAATTTCGATTTCAGCACGGCGGTAAATTCCACAAAAATAGGATTTGATCAATGGGAGCAAAAAGAACGAAACGTGAACATCGTTCAGGCATTAAACCCGTTCTTTCGAGCTTTTGCACATTATCCGTACTTAAAACAAAATTAAATTAATATTTAAACTAAACGGTTCGAAAAAGGGGAGCGAGAAAAACATTTAGGAAAATGCTGAAAATGCGATCGGAGAGGAAACGAAAGTGGGCGTGCGTCGGCGAGATCTCAACGATTGTACAAATTCGGCGTCGCGAATGTCGAGATTCGCGGGATATCATCCCGTCGCGCTAGTTTACGTAAGTTGGGCGTTATTGATCTAATCACGAAAACACATTCTCCGAGGGGAGGAAGTTATGCCGCTAGTTTTGAACACGGCGCGTTTCTCTCAAAAAAAAAAAAAAATGAAGGAGAAATTACTCAAAGAACGATATGTCCCAAATGCGAACCATAAGACGTCTTGAAGACGTAATTAAGATGTCCATTTGACGTCAAGCCATAAAGATGTCTTTAAAATATCTTTAAGACGTCTTGTGTCCCCATTTTTAATATATGTACTGTCTGGGTATAGACACGAGCTCTCAGGATGAACCTGCGAATCCCTATAATCGCGACTTACTTAGCTCGTTAATTCCACGAGACGTGCTTGCGACGACGACTCTTCTCGTTTTATTCACTCGACTTTCGGGATCAACTCTTCCTCGTCGCGCAACATCCGGATGTTGAACTTATCGGAATCGGTGTAGGTTTCGAATTTTTCATCATTGACGGAGAGATATAAGGGAGGGAAAGGGGTTTCGAGTCCACGCAAAGTGGAGTCGCGAGAGGATCGATTCGCGCATAACTTCACGACTGATAAATTCGCGACGCAGTTCGCGTACGCACAACGTTCGCGTAACGGCATGAATAATAACGACGGTGTAATGACGCGTAAACGATGATGAACGGAATTCGTGATAACACCCACGGTGGGCTAGCAGACAAACTCCCTCCCCCTTCCTGCCACCCAACGTCGCCCCGTTTCAACGATGTTGCAGGTTATGGCAGAACACGAACGGCAGAAAACATACGTACCTGGTATTGTTCTTTTTCTCGAGATCCGCGCTGGTCTCGACCTCCGGCGAGGTGGGTTTCGGCATATCGGGTGTCGCCTCGCTGCCGTTCTCGGGCTTCTTGCCCATCCAGGTAGACACCTGATTCGTCAGGCCGGAGAACATCTTGCGACGTGCGTCGGCGAGCTAGAAAATCTGTTCCTCTCTGTCTCTCTCACTTCCTCCTTCGATCGAACGACGACTTTACTCGCTCACGTACTCGCCGGAATCGAGCGTAACTGTCAACGAAATCCTCGCGGGACCGGAGTAACGACGAGCACGATAATACCTCGTCCGTCCTCGCGACAGCGCAGCCACGAACTGCGTAAGCAGCACGTGCACGCGCGCAGCTCGCATTGCGCACCCGTCGCGACGCCAACGGCCTTGCGCGGCAGGTCCGCGAACTACCGACGACCATCGATTGCACGCGTCGCGACGCGCGCCACCTGATTCTCGGGGTTGATTGTGTATTTCGAAAGCGGGTGAAAATTTCTCAAGAGTGAGCAAATTCACTAGGCATTGAACGAAATTATATTCTAATGACGTTACGTGGGTCAGACCAAAAGACAATTAAAGACAAGATTGCACGAACATGTCTCCGATATTAATAAGAAGTCTAAATCCCCAACAGTGATCACATAGGCAGAGAAACTTCGTTTAATAAGAGATTGATATCGGAGATGGTCATATAAAACGACAAATGCATGGGCTAAACAAACAAAATGACACAGAATCCCTGCCAGAATCATACCAAAACATTATCCAATCTCTTTCCCCCTCTTAACATTGTCCTTGTCTCCTTTTCTTATTATCTTTCCTATTTCCTTGTTTTCTTTTTGTCATAACGTCACTTGACATCGTTGAGTTTAAATGTTACATACAATTGTATCATGGCTTATTATTTTTTATTAAATATAACTTTTTTATTAAATATAACTTTGTTAATTGTGTGTTCCTATCGTCGTCTACTTTACATCATTGAGATAATATGAGGTATATATGTTTTATTTAATTTGCATTCTAATCTAATTTACTAAAAATGTACATCGATAATTTAATCTATAACGCAATGTTAATGTATTATTTATTATTCAGATTGTAGAATTGCGAAAAGTGAGATTTGATCTCTTTTGATAGTTTTACATATGGACCGCATTTTATGAATACAACTAATTTTTCACTGGACAATATAATTTAACCGAATTTTCTGATAATGTATGTAAGAGTGTTTGTTATTTTACATTGAAAATGACCCGATCGGTGTCGAAAGGTTTGTATATATACGTTTATTAAAGATCTTATATTATAATTGGCTCATTGCCCTTCTTTTATTTATTGATTTATTCTAATTGAGCCATATTAACATTTATTTATATTCTAATGAATTTTTGCTAATTTTTGTAATTTTTATCTTATTTTAAGATGGAAATCACAAGACACAATCCGGAAAAAAATGTTAAGCATATGAACATATTTTATGTATAGATAATTAGAGGAAAGGCCGCTATTATGAGATACCGAGTTCATTTGGGGTAAATACTAGAAATCTATGGGCAGAATTTGAAAAAATAATAGATCATTTTGAAGGGAATTTAATAAGCTTTCAGATAATGCTATGTAAAATTTAATTCAAATCCTATTTTTTTTTTAAATAAAATGTAAAGAGTGAGCAAATCGCAAAGTCAAAAAAATTGTGTTCTTAATATGAGATACCTCGAAAAATCAATAATAAAACGAAAAATATATCAGTATTGCAGTTAAAAAACTTTATTCAATGTTTCTAAAATACAAATACAGCCAGTGTGCGTGCAAAATGAACATGCATTGGATCTAGGACTCGTCTTCAGATAGTTGGAACCAAACCAGTTGTCCTTTCTATTATAGTGCAACAATATTTATACTTTCAGCAACGATTTTCACTATGACATAGGAGCATAGATTATTTTACATTAGAAATACTCCGAGTATCTCATATTACGATTTCCACGACTTACGATTTTATGATCAAATTTAACTTCTGTAATTAAGCAATTCAACATATTTCGTACTTTTCTATTAGTATGATCTTACTCTATCACTACATGAAGAATTTAGTGCTAAATTTATTTATTAAATAATAAACAAGATTTAAAGGCTCATCTCAATGAAACAAGGTTTAAAGGCTCATCTCTTGAAGACGTTCAAATTCTCAAATCTTTTTTTACAATGACTGCAGGCATGATCTAATAATGAATTTTCTACTAAATAGTTTTCAATCTAAGAGCAATAAATTCGTGGTGGAATCAATAGATAGCGTTTATTAGTTTAGTGGAAACGCCGCTATCTCATATTAGGTGCCTATCTCATAATAGGGGGCTTTTCTCTATATATAACTGCATATAAAATATGTCAATTTTTTTACATAATTATGTATGATTTTGTATATTTTTATATAATTATATATAATTATATATATGAAACATTTTTTTCCGGGAATCGACTCCCTCACAAATCGCAGTGGCCGCGCAGAAATCGAGTTACAATGATTGATGATGAGATAATACGAGATGATTTTTTTAGATAATAAGTGCTAGTTATCCAGATAATTTTAATCTGCGATGAAAGCCATATTTGTTGACCTGGAAACGACGGCGACAAAATTGATACAGAATAAGTTACCGTACGCACTGTACGACGCGACGCTGAGAGAATTTTGATAGATTTGAAGTCTGCCGATATAACGGCGGAGATTGATAACGGGGATCAGGCGGAGATTTATCACGTTTCTTATATACGTAATACCGTGTTATTTTTTTTTCAAATATTTCTTTATGAATAATTATAAGCGTAAGATTTCAGGTAGGGGGGGGGAGGGAGCAAAAATTTATCTTCGCATAAAACATATTAAAATTATAATCGGGCTTCGAAAATCTTCAGCGAACTTTCATATGAATAACGCGCGAGACACAAATAGAGCAATAAGCATTTAATTTTTCATCGTAAAAATTCTCATAATTTATTTTTTTTTATTAAAATTTAAAGGGGGCAGGTTCCCCTTGCGTATAATAATGTCGGCAATACGTAGCGTCTATAATATATTGCTGGATACATCTTGTTTTATTTTACTGTTATTCGGAGTAGTTCGTCTTTTTTAAAAAATACATGCATTTAATGCTGCTTTTCTTTCAAAAGGCACAGTCGGCACAGTCGATAAATGTCGTTTTGTCCTTGACATTCAATGAATAACAAAGGAAGAACAAACTTGTGTCGACTGTATCTTCTAAAAGGAAAGTAATCTAAGAAAATAAATTGCTGCCTTTTATTTATAATGCAACGTTTTAATTTGTGACAAAGATTCTTTATTTGTGATAAAAATTACACTTCGGAAGCGTAATCTTGGATCGAAAATCAATAATATAAAAAATTTTTAATTGAGTTTATAATAGAAAGTTAAAGTTGAAAATTAAATCCCCTTTAGGGAATGTAATAAATAACGATGACTTTTAATTTATTCCGCAATATCTTCCTTTCTATGAATATCTTTCAAATGAAAAGAAATGTTCCCAAGATAGTACGGATTTAAGTAGCAAAATAGATTAATAAAATTTAATAGATAAATAAAATTTAATTACAATCGATAATGCGAATACGCGTGAATTTGTAAGCTTGATAGCTACATGGTACTCGTAGAATCTGAATTCCTCCCGTAATAAGTCTTCTTAATCCCCGTGACATACCTGCCGAACAATAACATATCGGCATCGTCACGGAAGCGTGATGAAATCCATTAATCAGACGTGATCTCTACTTTCCGTTGATTCTTCGATTGGCAATGCGAAACATTTGTATGTTCTATGTTCGACAAGGATACGAGACGCGCATTATTCTTGTTTTTAAAGCGCGATATTGGGTTTCACGTCACAAAGCCCAAGTGTAAACGTCACTTTACTGCCTGATAACGTAAGACTTATCTATAATACCTACACAGTCCAAATATTTTTACCTTCCGGCAATTACATTGACCTCGAGTACGGTCGATTGTTTATTATTTCACAACGCAGTGACATTAAAAATATTTGTAATTTTATTTTAACTTTGATTGGGGCAAGGCAGTTACAATAATATTAATTAAAATGTTACGATATTGACACATACAACACTTTATATTACGTAACATCGATATGTCATGCAGAAGCATCGTGAGCATCGTTACGTCTCGAGGTAGAACGCACGTGGTGCACAATGATCAAACACGTAGGATGCAATCAGGTGTTATCGATGAATTGATAGCGCGACATATGTTACATACGACGCGTCAAATCCATCCGTTACACCTGATCATTCTCGACTCCATTCCTTCTGTGCCCTGTGTAGTTGTACTTTTTATCTATCTAGTATACAATATTTATTTATCGTACAGCATCTAAAATGAATGTTATATCGTGCGTCATACATATCACAGTTTGGCACCAAGAAAGTCAATCGACCTTACGTAAAATTCGCTACGTTCTTTTCGACCGAACGTCTAATAGATATCGCAAAGACATTTGAAAAGTCATGAGACATTAATCAATTGAGACACGATCAACGCGATGCTACAATGCTTTGAAGTATTCTTTAATTAGTCTAAATTCTTTAACTAGTAAAATTCTTTCTTCTGATTGATCAATTAAATTAATAATTCAAAGCATTTGTAACGAGACTGATCGTATCCTTGGGTGTTCATTGAAGTTATTCAAGACGATATTAATTTGTTTCATTAAAGAATTCATGCTACGAGCTCAATCAAACGTAATTGTACAACTTCATAATTTTTAAATATTTCGAGTTGTATATATTATATGTATCACCGATCTATATATATATACATCTTTCCAGTTTTTTGTTCGTCATTAAGACGTATTGGTCAGATTCGCTAGACGTCACTACTACTCGTCCCGGTGCTAAATGGTAACATAAATGTTTCACGAAACGCGAAGTAGCGAAGAATTAAGTATTCCTTTTTTCGTTCCCTAGGAATGTATATCTATACATATAGTTATCGTCAGTGAGCTGCATCTGACGGAATCGTCTTCGCTGCCTCCAAAGCTGCTTGCTGGCGCTGATACCTGAGACAAATATTAATTCGGTAAGGTCTTCAGAGAAATAGCTAAGCCAAAGGCGCAATATCAAACGAGATAAATTATGCGAGAAGTTATAAGCAAAACAGAAAAGTGTTGACAGACTCGTTTAATCAATTCCTGCGATAGCTTTAAGAGAATTCTGCAGAAACAATATTTTTATTTTATAAAATAATCAAACACTCGCTTCTCTCTGGGAAATTTTAAAGAGAAATTT